AATGATCGGGAAATACTATCTATAACCAGCGAGGTTTTCACTTGAATGCAATTCAGGGGCACGCATATTAAGGTATAGTGGGCCTCCACATGTGTGTCCCCGAAATATTCGGTCCAAATTCGATAGCATTCTTGTGATTACTTCGCAGGCTAATAAACTTAAAGTTAGCTTGTCGGCTTCTTCGTGTTCCTCCAACGATGAAACTGCGTCGTAGATTGGTCTCGAAGACTTCCTACGCTTACGATTTGTAAACGATCTAGCCTGTGTGTGTGGATTGTCCCATGTTGCCCTAGCAACCTGCAACTAGGTGTTGACTCTTCGCGGGAAGAAACGCCTGGTTGCAGATTACCTTTGTTGTACGACTAAACCTGTTAACTGATCTACCATCACAAGTTCGAGGTCTGCAAATGCGCATGAAAAAATTTCACTTCACACTTTTACTGTTTAACATTGAAATTAAAGCCAAATTGGTAGGAGCAGACCCGAATTTGCGGGGCTATTCTAACTATCTACCTGTAACCAGAGAGACCACTAAGCTCGTAAGCAATGACCAAATGAGGTCCTCTCACTGTAGCTGAATGATCTGACGTCTCTAGTTTACTAAGTTATGTCCTAAAATAATCACAGTCTGGTTGAACCTTGCGGATGAAAGCTTCACTTGAGCAGCGCATAGACTATCAAGTGAAGTGTGATAGTTCAATTCAAATTTGGCGCAACTAAGCGGGAGCCGGAAGTGAAGACGACGACGACAAAGGCTGCGGTAGTCCATCTTGAAAAGGCGCAAAAAGACGGAGCCGAACCGTTTCCATGAATCGAAGCCGAATCCAAAAAACCGAACCTATTCCTAAAAGCCGAACTTACTGCTGACCGAACACCTGCAAAGGAACCCAACTTATGAAAAAGGGAAGGGGAGGCCCTTACCAACCCAGGGAACCCGCTAGCTAATCTAACTACAGTTAAGTTAAGCCGAAAAAAATTCCGGAAACTTCAGGCCGAACGTGTGTGGAAAGTATGCTTTGCAAGGTTCATCCAGAGCTCTATATACCCCCTTTGACCCAACCCATAAGGAATGCACCTGACCTGTACCATTTCAAGAGGCTGGGTTTGCTGTTCTGTTTGGGGGATGCTGGTCTGTGGCCTGATGGGGTGATCTGATCTGATCTGGTGGTCTGGTTTGGCAGCTGGTGGTCTGTTCTGATGGTCTGATTTGGTGGTCGGGTCTGACGATGGTCTGTTGTGGTATTAGGCTGTGGTGGTCTGATTTCTGATCTGATTGTCTGGTCCGGTGGTCTGTTGCCTGAGGAAGATAGTCTGGTCTGACAGCTGAAAATTGAAAAGATAACAAGCTGAGTTGATAGCAGTGAAATGGCTAAATTAAGCGTTAAGAAACAGAGAAAAAACGGAAATACTTTATTATTTTCTTTAAATTCAGTTACAACTATGAAAAGCTGGAAGCTTTAAACCAAAAAAGGTTTGCAAAACCCAAACCAAACATATTCAGGGCTCTAGTGACGTTCGCTACCACTCTTTTAATTCCGATGTGAAACATCTTGGTAACCACACAGACTCTGTCGCAATCTATTTAAGTGAGGGGACACCCGAGAGGTCGCACGTGATGTAGTTATATCATATGAGGTTGTGACTCTGATAACGATCTTTCCAAACATCTTTATTTCTATTAAGTGTCATTAATTTGCAATGTTTAACATCAGAGTAACTTTAAAGGCCTTATCGCAATCTATTCACTCGAGAGTTCACGCGAGAGGTCGCGAGTTGTGTAGTTATATCATATGAATACCCGCTCTGGTGACGATCTTTGCGAATTTTTTATTCATAATAAGTATCGAAAATTGTGATGTTCAACATCATAGGTTTCGCGCGAGAGGTCGCGCGTGACACCCACATGTGAAGGTCTCACTCCGTCAAAATCTCGCTGTTAAGGTCGTACACCTAGAAAAATTGAATGGAATTTGTCGTTTCTGCAAATTCCTTTTCTAGGAACCAATATAAATTTGGAAGAAAATAAAGACGTAATTTGCCGGGTCCCTTTATCTGGACATCGAGGTCTCCACTAAGTTTCGCGTGTATTTTACTAACAGCCACGTGTACGGCCTTGTAGTGCGACGGGCTTTCAAAATCATGGACTAAATTTGCTTGAGCATTTGCTGACATTTCTACTCGCTTTTTTCATCTGAGAACAAATAAATTAACTTAAAAACAAGAACATTCGACAACCACATAACTTAATCTAAAGTTGGACTTGACGCAATACGAATGTGAACCGAATTGACGATAACTTTAACAAGTAATTTACCTCAGGCGCTGGTTTTAACATCCCAGAAGTTTTCCAAAGTCAGCTTTCTTGAAGTGAAGCTAAGAAGGACGAATTGTCAGTTTATGTGAAAGCGTCTTGTTTCTCTTTAGTGAACAGCTTTCGTAAGCTTTCTTGAAGCTATCAAGTTTTGAATGTGGCGCGGAGCAACGTTCTGATTTGAATAATAATTTCTGATTGGATTTTCGTTCTGCACGTGCCTATGTAGCAAGAACAAGGGTTGTTTACCACACACACCACAGGGCACCTGGGACTTGTAAGGTTAATTAATATTTCAAACAAATTCTTTGAAAAGATCTTTTGCGAGTGAACCATTTGTAAGGCAGAAAAAACCGGTTATTAAGAGCGCTTAGCATTTGCATGGAAAACCCAGAAATTCTGGGGAGAATTCGAATGGGACGGTTCATCCCGGTGGAAATTTTCTGGAAAAAAAGTGATATCTTTCGAGTTATTACCTTTTTCCCCTTTTTACCGAAACGACCGAAATTTTCTGTACCATTTGTTTGTATTACCACTGCCAGGCTTCAGGTCGAGAGAAAGCGAAAAATTTACCGGTATTTTGTAAATGGTACAACTCAATCCCGTTCCTGTTTTCTGTGACCAAAAAAATGCCAGCAACATTTGACGGAAATTTTTCACCGAAATTTCCGTACAAATGGTGAGCGCTCTAAATTCGGCGAGAACAGAAAACATAAAAGAAAAACTGACAAAGTCGTGAAATTTTCTCTTGTGGACGAAAAACACTTGCTGATCTGATTTCTCTTTTTCAGGATTATGCCCTTTTTATTAAAAAAATGCAGCTCAACGATGAAACTGTACCCAGGGCTTTTAAATTTTTATTATCAATATGAGAAGTCTCAAAAGTGAAGGCATTGATTCAACAGAGACACTACTATCAGCTAATCGCACAGTCTCTTCGTTCCGTTCAAAACACGTTTTGTTTTTTAACAGACAAGACCTTCTCTTCTTGCCTGTGGGCTTGTTTTGTTTTTTGTTTTTCATAAATTCCACCTTTAATCTCGGCCGAGGGGTGATAGCCTGCGCAACAGGCGTTTTTTTTTTGCGTTTTCAGACGAGCGAAGGCAAGTGTAGCCTGCGAAGAGCCCGGAAATACGTCTGCTGAGGCCCGATGGAAGGAAAAAACAATGATTTATTTTGAGACCGGGACCCCCAACCCCCATCTCAGGGTTTGGATGACCAGGCGCCCCCTCTCTTATCTGAAGGTCTGGATTCGCCATTGCTAGAGACTATTTTAAACCGCAAACGAAATTAAATAAATCACTATCCATTAGACAAGTGTTAGGGAAACCAATTGCGTTATCCACTGGATAGAGAGTGTATTCATTGGATATACGTTTCTGGAAAACTGCCCGCTTACCCCCTCCCAAGCCAACGTTTTGCCCTAAGTGAAAAGTAAGTATTGATTTTGGCTTTGGAGAGGGGTAGGTGGGCAGTTTACCAGAGACGTAAAATGATCCGTGCTATCCACCTTTGAACAACTGTGGTCAGGATCAAAAAATTTTTGAACAGTTTGAAAGGGCGCTTGGAAGTAGTGGGCAAAGAAAAAAACGAGCGCGAGAAGGAGATACGCGTGTCTCCCTCCCCTAAGGCGCGCGCTAGGGGAGGGGTTCTTTTTCGCCCACTATCCACCTTTTGAACAACTGTGGTCAGGATCAGTATAGGAACAGTTTGAAAGCAAAATTTAAATAAAAAATATAATGAAACCAAAAAGTCATTTCCAAATTTTGGTTTAGGAGGCAAACCTTCTCCGGGGGCTAATGAAACTTAAACAAAGGAAAACATTGTCTCCTGTAGGAATAATTATATCAGGAGACGTGAGGAAGCAGAGGAGGCTTTTCACCAAGATTACAAACCTACGGCTTTGGTGGTTCACAAAACAATACAGATTTTGGATTATTATGTCTATATATCATTTCTGAAAACCAACTTTCACTATAATGTTTTTATTCCTATTTGAGTACGGGTATTAATATTATTATTACTATTATTAAATAATCTTTGAGTTAGAATCTTTTATATCGCTAGTCTTTGTTACATAAAAAGTAGAAATAGATGTCCTTAAGCTGTAAGTCAATTTTCTCTGTTTTCCTCTTTGTTTAGAAGGCATACATATACTTAAATCTTTTTACATCTTTTAAAATCTTCGGAACTCACTTAAATTTGTCATTTGGCGACGCTACCACACAGGTTTCCCCGCCAAAGGACGTCTGAGAAACGAGTGTAGAAATTCCATACTGATGACGTGTCACTACCAGATCTGGGTAGTGCTTCGGATTGGTTGAATCAAATTTCCAACACGGCACGACGTTTCTCAGACGTCATTTGGCGGGGAAAACAGTAGTAGCGTCCCCAAATGTCGTCTGTTTTCTCAGGGTTTCTCCATATGCAAAAGAAAGTATTGTTAACAAAATTTTATAATATATATATATTACATTTTGTAGCCTGCACCACACACGAAACTTAACTCTGGCAAACTCCGTCTGCGAAACAGCGCCGAAATCCTTGTTGCGTAAATATAAAATAGAAATCTTTAAAATTGCACAGCCTTTTCCTTAGCTAAGCTTTGAACTTCTTAGTTTTAAACTAACAATATTAATTATTGTTAGTTTCATACTTAACGCCATCCTCATCATCACCATCATCATCCTCAAAGTCAACGTAAACGTCATCGTAGTAGTCGTCATCATCATTATCGCCATCCAGGGTTCATACAAAAAATTGAAACTATTTTTCAAAGACTTTTCGAGGGCTCTTCAAAGGACCAGATTCGATTTTCAAGGACCACCTATCAGGAATGTAATTTCACAGATTGTACAAAAAGGTACATTCCCAGTCCATTCTAACAGGACATTCACGCTAGAAATACTGGCTCCATCAACTTCTTTACATTTTTCAGTTTACTTGTCTTAAATTGATAGTTGATTCATGCATAAAACAAATAACGCTTTACATAAATGACCATTAACGTCTCTAAGCTATGAATTATATTCTGTCTTTGAAAACTAAAAAGCATTAAAAAAAAAGTTGAAGAAAATTCCAGAAATTTTCAAGGACTTGCACAGAAGTTTGAAGACTTTTCAAGGAAAAATGGAATCTACGGACTTTTCAAGGACTCTCCCTAAAATTCAAGGACTTTTCAAGATAGTGCGAGCCCTTTCATTGCCGTCATCAGCATTATCATTATAGTTATTGTCAACGTAAACTTCATCGTCATCATCGTCATGACTGATCATCGCCTTCATCATCATCATCATCATCATTATCACTATCATCATCATCAAAGTCATTGTCAAGGTCATCGTCGTTGTAATCAATAGCCCAAGATGACAAATAAGGTCTCATCAGCCATATTATGCCACACAACTTCCCTTTGTCAAAGGATTTCCACTCCCTGAATCTACTTCAGGTAAAACTTCAACATACTCTGGTACAGAATCAGTATCCATTTCATTTTCTGACGAGGTCGCCTCATCAGCGGGCAATCCTCCTGAGTCCGCCACTTCAACCACTGCATAAAAAGGCGACGGAGGATCAGTCTCGTTACTATTACTGTGTTCTCTACCATGACCATAACCTGTCTCTCTTTCGTTTGTTTTATTTTCATCCAAATTCTCTAAGCTCGACCGAATCACGCAGACATCATCTTGTTTAGCGTAGTCATAATCTTTACTCTTGACTTTGTCTTGGGGTGGTGGACTATTGGCTTCGCTGTATATTGCTGTATCTTCCGTAGATGGGGGCAGTGTTTCTACAGGTGTCGATGGAAGAACTGAGGATCTTTGCTCCATTGGGACTAAATATCCTGCGACATCTAAACAAACACAGAAAAAAATCTGGTAAGGTACTTTTAACAGGGGCACCCAACGAGAATATAGTTCAAAACCTCTTAAACATAGCATCGTTGAACGTATTTTAGTAATTAAACGGTAGTTATAGGTGTATTTTTATCCCCTAAAAATTATTCATCTGTTCGGATTTCCTAGCTGAAAGTCTAGTGATCCGAAAATTATAGAGATCAAAACTTACCTTTTCGAAAATTTCAGTCAGAAAAAAGGCTCCCGAGAATTCTAGGTGACCTTTTAAGGGTAAAAATCCGTTAAAAATGGGCAATTATACCATTTTTGGGGGGGTCGAAAATCCTAGGAGAGGCAGGGAAGCAAGAAATTGAACAACAAATGTTCCAAAAATTCTAGATCTCAAATCGTCTTCCGAACAGATAATTTCCAAAAATTGTCGTTGGGTGCCCCTGTTTTGACTTTTGAGTCTGTGGAAGAAACGTCATGGTGTGACAGTTCACATGAAACCTCTTCAGCAATACTTCAACATGGTACTACTTGTTTAGCATTGAGTTCCAACTTTTGAGTCTGTATATGAAACCCTCTCGTGTGACCATTCAAATGAAACTTTTTCAGCACTGCTTTCACATGGTACTGTTGATTTAGCATGTAGTTCTAACTTTTGAATCTGCAGTTGAAACCCTATAATGTTGCCATTCAAATGAAATCTCTTAAGCAGTACTTTCACATCGCACTATTTATTTGGTATGCAGTTTTCACAGACTTCTTTTATCAATGAAATTTTTTATGGAATTCATATCAACACATTTGGATGGGGGTTATAACCAAGGAGCTCACAATCGGATTTCTTTTGGTTCACAGGTAGATGGCCTGTAATTAACAGAACTGAGGGGAATTATAAGCGGCAGTTTACGGTATTGCTGTCTGTATACAAACACACAGTCTAGAAAATACACTGTAACTTATCCGTCAATTATCCTACCTTCACCGGGTTTCAGAAGCCTTTGATAGTCAGACTTACACCTCTGTTGTCCAGGCTTCAGGACTGCGTAACCTTTTCGACAGGGGCTTCCCGCCCTGGCATACCCTCCTTCACTACCTCCCGACGCAACGCCTGAGGTCGTAAAAGTGATAACCGTATCGTCATCGTTATTGCATAACTGATTTTCTGGTGGAAGACAAAAAGAGGAAATGGTTTGTTTAAAGGGGCTATGTCACGAGCTAGGATATTGCTGTTTTAGGTCACTACGTAATGACTGTGCTACATTAATTACCCATTCACCATTTGCACATCTCCCATAATACACCTCGGTGACCCCCCTCCCTCCCCCGCAAAAAAAGGTTTTGCAAAAGTTTTGTTTTTCATTTCTCCTGGGTATTGCAGTTGTCCCAGGAGAAATTGAAGACGATAATTATGCAATTTTTTTTTTTTTTTTTTTGCGGGTTGGGAGGGGCAAATAGCGAATACACAAAATGCTCCTCAGGACGCAATCATAGCCTTTTTGTACCTCTCCTGTATTAAACCGTTGGAAAAAGAATTTTGCAGCGTAAATTTGCCATCAAAACAACCCCTCAGTTTGCACATGCATCAAAAACCGCTTAAAAAATCGCAACCAGAATCACATCAACCTGTATGAAAGTGCCTTAAAGCAACTACAGGTTGTACATTAAAGCCCAGACAAAAAAAAGAAAACAACAACGAGGGACAATATACTACCGTTCTCAAGAGACAACCAAACATGAACAGTAACACTGCATTCTTACCTTTATTTGACCTTCTTTTCCGTCTCCTGCGACTCCTAAAGCAAAATTAAAACACAATAAATTTATGTTTCGCTAAAATTTGCACTGGTGGTAGTAATGGTAAAGAAGAAACTATCTTCCCATAGGCGGCCACTTATCCAAACACCCAAATTTTCCCAGTCAAACAACCTCTCACAACTGCCCAAGAAAACAGCCGACATTTGGCTACGCTATCACTGGTCTCCCCGCCAACAAACGCCGTCTGAGAAACGAGTGCAGAAATTCCATACTGGTGACGTGTCACTACCAGATCTGGGTAGTGCTTCTGATTGGTTGAATCAAATTTCCCACGTGGTACAACCAATCAATCTCATTTGAGGGTGGGCCTAATAGAGACAAGGGGCTTATTTGAGAGAGGGTTGGGGGGTATTTCATTTAGATGAAAAAACGACGATGACGATGGTATCAGTTCTCCAAGAACTAAAATACAAAGTGGAAAAGCTCTGATGTTGAGAGCTGGTTACTTAGGTGTTCATATGTTCCCGTGAAAATGATGAATGTTTTAAATGTATACATTTTGGTCTATGAAATATATCATATGAGAACTGTGGAAATGAAATCAAATGAAGAACGATCCTCGCAGTTGTGAACGCGACTTATGCAATTGCATAAGAAGCCTGAAAAAATTCAGGACTTCACTTTTTTCAAGTTCCTTACACTTCTATCGCAAGCTCATGGGTTCAAATCCTGTTGAAGTCATGAATTTTCTTCAGGGCCTCTAAATAGGCAATAGCATAAAAGTGTTCACAACTGCGAGGATCATTCTTCATTTGATGTATAAAATTTATAGTTATCTTACCTTTGTCTCATTTTGCACAAAATCCATATAATTGCAGTGACAGCAAGAGTGGTAATCACGGCACCCCCAGCAATAACAGCAATGAGCCAGACGGGGAGAGCAACTGTTTTGCTAATGGAGAAGTTTGTATTCTCATTTAGTGATGAAGTTGTGGCAGGTTCCATTGCCACAGCAACAACATCAGTTATGGATCTTTGTATTGTTTCATTGGAAGGTCTTGTCTTGTTTGACACTATCTGGAATTTACAATAAACAAATTTACATAAAGTCACTCCGGGTTTTAAGACACTTTTATATCAAATTTCAGGGGCACCCAACGTCACTTTTCGGAAAATATCTGTTCAGAAGATGATTTTCGGAACATTTGTTGTAAAAATTTCTTGCTTGCGTGCCTCACCTAGGATTTTCGAACATCTGAAAAATGGTATAATTGCCCATTTTTAATGGATTTCATTTTTACCCTAAAAAGGTCACCTAGAATTTTCGAGAGCCTTTTTTCTGGCTGAAATTTTTGTAAAGGTAAGTTTAAATCCCTATAATTTTCGGATCACTAGACTTTCAGCTAGGAAATCCAAACAGACAAAGAATTTTTAGGGGATAAAAATATGCCTATATCTACCATTTAAATACTAAAATAAGTTTAGCAATACTATGTTTAAGTGGTTTTATGCTATATTCTCGTTGGGTGCCTCTGAAATTTATGCAGAGAAAATAAAATAAAAGAATATGCAGGGTTAAAGGTTGTAGACCAAAATAATATTGCTGATTGCCTAATTATCATCAATATATAGCACATTGTACATATACAATGTATCTGGTGTTTGCCATTTCAGCGACAACAAGTTACTCAAAGGAAATAATAGAATCACTGTCATTGTGGAAGCATTGTCTTGTCCAGTGTTTATACGCAAAATTTTTGTGTCTGCTCAATATTAGCCTTACCCTTCTGAGCAGATGCACTTACTAAGCTAGCTGGATAAGAACCAATGAGTTTATAATAACGGAGAAACATACCATTGTTGATGCTGTTGATGCTGTGCTGTTCATGCCTGCTGAAGGAAGACCTGCAGAAGGAAAGCACCATGTTACACTGTAATTTATTTATAATTGTTACCAAGAGTCATTATGGCTATTGTTGTTACAGAATGTGAAAAATTCTTTAAGTACGTAAGTAAAATTCTTGGGAAAAGCTTACTTTAAATAGTGGTAGTGCAAAGTACAATTTTTTTTAAAAAAATCTTTTGATCATGGGCACTTTTCTATGACTCCACTTATTATGGCAACTACTAAAAATAATTTTGTTGATGTCTATAGACGGCGGACAGTGGCTGATGTGTGCGGCAGGGTTGCAGTCAGTAGGAGAAAAAATTTGAGTACATAGCAATGGATTGTGTGATTCCACAAAATATCCAAACCCCCCACCCCCACCAACACGGATGGTCAATGGAAATTCCTAGGGGGTGGGGGGGCTAAAGGGTAGAAATTTCCAAGGGGTAGAGGGGGTGCCCACGAGAAAAATTTTATACTGGGTTGTAAAAGATATTGCCTTGTAAAAGATTACAAATTATAAGGTCAAAGATCATAAAAAATCGTGTCTTAAGATGAGAACAGTTAATTTTAAGCAGTACACGGTCGATTATCTCTAAATACTGCAAATTAAGGCCATGAAAAGGAAAATAGGAAATTCCTGGGGGGTGGGGGTTATGCATGACCCCTCTGGAACGGAAATTGCAAGGGGGTGGGGGGGTCTAATTGGAAGAACCATCCGTTTGGGGGTATGGATATTTTTTGGAATCACACATCAAATAAAGGGATGCAAAGTTTACTTACCGCAACACTGAGTCAAGTGAGGGGGCAAGTTTGGAAGGGGGTTGCCCCCGCCCATAATATAGTAGGGAGGCCTACTCTGGAAACAAATAATTTGGGGGCCCCTGTATCTCAGTGCATTTTGAGTGATCAGGGAGAGATTTTAGCAAAAAAAAAAAAGGCACCTTTATTCACCTACATTTGCTTTTCTTGAAGATCAAATACAATCATTATACTTTCCCGCTCAATTATTTTATGGAGTAGCTGGGACTTCCATGACAACTGGACAGGTATTTCCACCTGTTGGCAGCACCTCGCAATGTACTGTAGAGGTTCAGCTATATACAATATTCAACTGCAGCCAGGGCTGTCATTAAGACGCAGGTGCCAGGGATTTCCCGTGGGCAGCTACTATGAACATGGTCCCCGGCTACTTGCATAGGAAAATAGAAGAAAAATAGAACCAAAAGAAATCCCTAGCTGTTTGATTCCCCGCCTACTTGTTGTATTTATCCGGCAACTTGACATCTTAGTGACATCCCTGACTGCAGCTGTTGTTTTGGATTATAAAATGTACTTACGGCATTGGTTACTGTGGGTGCAGCCATTCACCTTAAACACAATACACAGGTCTCTTCGCTTGCTTTTACCAGCTTGTCTTCCTTCACATTGAATGTTAACCTTGACAATTTTTCCAAATAACTCTGCCTCTGGTTTTCCATCATACCACTGAATTAGCAAATAAATGGATGAAAGAAAGAATAGTTAAGCATAAGTACAACAACAACGACAACATCTTTATTTCTTACATTAAATATAGAAATATCACACCACCTGCAAATAGCAAGGCTAATCGAGGCAGGTGGTGTGTAGACGGCTTAAGATTTATTACGAATAGTTGAAGTGAAAAAGTACCATATTTATAATAAAAAAGGTCAGTCACGAGAGAAATTGAGATAAGAAAATCGATGCAGCTATGTAGATAAGCGGGGGCTAATATTTTTTAAAATCGGAGATTATCGTGTTTAGGCCAGCATATCTATCCTGAACTTCAAATATTTTCAACAGAATTGTATGAACTTTTTCCTTAAAGAGAGATTTTGAAGAATTTCGTAAATTTTCAGGTATACTATTCCAAATTTTGGCTCCCATAATAGAAAACGAATCATTTTTCTGATTTAGTCTAGAGTGGCTAATGTAATAATTTCCAGAAGAGAAGGAGCGAGTGCTGTAAGAGTGTATTTGTCGAGTAGGAATAAAGAGATGTGAAATATTATGAGGGGCAGTGTTATTGTAAAAATCAAACATTAACATCGAAGAAAGCTTAAAATAGAGCATTGTAATAGGCAAGTTTGGGAGGACACAAACACACCTTAACTAGGTATTACACAGCAACAACAAAGAAATACAATAAAGGATAATAATAATAATAATAATAATAATAAACATCTCGGAAGAAACAGATCATGAATTGACCTTAAGGATGACTACAATGTAATTAGAAATTATGAAACATGACATCACAATGAAAGTTGAGAACTGGGCATGTGGAAGTTTTGTTATTCAAATTTCTGTTTATAATGTGTTATGACACCACTTAAATCATAGAACAGCTCTAAAATATAACCCTAACCCTAACCCTAACCCCCCTAACCCTAAATAGCAAGTGACCCCCCTTTCTTTATTCAATATTTACGTGATGAACCCCCCACCTCATATCTCCTCTTATATGTTCTACAAAGTATTATTAAAATGCATGTAACAATACTCTGTTAAGAGTGAAGACTTAATTGGTAAGTAAACGTACTAATCATAACATGATTAGTTACTAATTTGCTTAACAATGGAACTAATCTACTCTATTACAAAATCAGTGTATAAATATAGGAAGAGACGATGGATTTTTACAAATCGTGCCTTCATGGTGGGCAGAAATGTAATA